CGCCGGAGGTGTGAGGGCGGGGGGCGGGGGGACGCCAGGAGCCTCTAAGCGCGCGGGGGATGTGTTGGTTTCTGCTCCTGTGTCGGGGTCCCGGAGAGCCGGGGACTAACTGCGAAACCTTGCGCTGTGCGTTTAGACGCGACGGAGACCCTCTCTCTTCCAGGTGGCCATGGCTACCGGCCAGGTGTTGTTCCAGCGGTTCTTTTATACCAAGTCCTTTGTGAAGCATTCCATGGAGGTGAGGGCGTTTTTCTCACGGCACCATTGAGAGGAGACCCGGTGTGGTTGTGTGCGGGGCCGCTCAGAGGAGTGAGCGCCTGCCCTCCGGTCGGGCGCCCTGCTCGACGGGCTGGGGACCCCCGGTGCGGCAGAATGGCTTCTCCCTAGTGGCCTTCTCCTCGGGGCGCACCTCCTCTGTGCTTTTAGTCGCCCCTCTTAAGCCGTTGGAGACTGAGAATTGGAACAAACATCTGTGTTTGCAACCTTCTCGTTCCAGCATGTGTCAATGGCCTGTGTTCACCTGGCTTCCAAAATAGAAGAGGCTCCAAGACGGATACGGGACGTCATCAACGTATTTCATCGCCTTCGACATTTGAGAGAGAAAAAGTGAGTCTTATCAGATCTGGCAAATGTTTGTGCTTCTTTCTACAGTTATTAAGTTACACTGGCATTTCTGAAACAAAGTTCAGGGTGTGAGGTTTTAATCTTGTGCCCAGAAGAGAGTCCCTAACAGATACTGCTGATGAGTGAAGGGACCTCAGTGAGGAGGACAGGGCACTGTGGCTACAGTTTTGCTGGCATTGGTTTCCTAATTTGCCCTTGGCAGTCTCCGAATGCTCTAGAGCTGGGTTCTCAACCTCGGTGCTGTCGACATCTTGGGCTGGATGATTCTTGGTTGTGGGCACTGTCCTGTGCGTTGTAGAATGCTTTGCAGTCTCCTAGCCTCTATACAGTGGATGCCAATAGTTCGTCCCTCAGTTGTGACAGCCAGAAACATCTCCAGATGTGGCCCAGGAATAGCAGAAGTGCCCCTGGTTGAGAACCACTGCCTGGACCTTAGCCCAGCCTTTGTGCTGCTAAATAAACGGAACTCCTTCGGCCGTGTTTAAACCTCATGTTCCCCTTGGTTCTCTGGTTTCCCATACCATCATCGTCCGCATGTACATTTAGGTCTTGAGCCCGAAAAAGTGCATTTACTGCTTGTGCAGTGAGATCTCAGACGCTCCGCTGTGTTCAGTCAGTGTTTATTATGCATCAGAGAGCTGTTTATTTGTGAGGAAGAGGAGGGAGGGTTATTGAGAAGGGATGAG